GACCCAACGGGCCAGCGCCCCTGCAATGGGCCACTGCCAAACAAGTACCAGTCATAAGGCCGGGCGTTTATTTCACTACGGGCCAGTACAGGCCCTTCTTCCCAACCGGTGCGACAATCCAGGCTGTCTGCGGTCCTACTGGCCCGACAGTTCGGATCATCGCGCAACCTTAAGACTTTAAGATCGCGCAACGATCCAGGCCGTACGCCCTGTTGGACGGGATCATCACGTGATTTTAAAGTCTTAAGATTGCGCGATGATCTGAACCGTCGGGCACTGTGGATGGCCTGGACCGCTGCGTGACCTTAAAGCCTTCAGATAGCGTGACAATCCGAACCATGGGCCGGTAGGACCGCGGACGGCCCGGATTGCAGAATTCTCACATTAGCGATTTCGATAAGCATAGGGAAATGTTATGTAAAAGAAGCGCGAATGGGACAAAAAATATGAACCTAGGCCTGAAATGCGCCCAGTCAAAGGGGCTGTACGGCCCCGGGACCGAGAAGGGAAATGTCGGATGTGAAGGGTCTGTGTGGGAGACCCTAGGATGCTGCACAAGTACAGCACCAGATAGAGGCAAATCCACACACGTGAAAGCCAAAGACAGAACGCACCGAACAACCTCTTTGTAGTTCTGCATCCACTCTCTCTCGTTAAGAACTTCCTGAAACCTCAGTCATACACTCTAACATGAGAGAGTTACACACCTCAGTAAAACACTGCTACATCCTGCGACCTTTGCCTTGAATCTCCACGCCCATACAGCTGAAACGGTGTCAAGACAGGAGTTCAACAGGAAGGGTAAGAGTCACAGCACACAAGAGAACACAGCAACAGCCCAACAATCGTCTTCAGGCTGCGAATAGCCCACTAAATGTTCCATTCTGCTGTTAGCTTGTACAACTTGTTCGTTATTTTTGCTTTGAGACCAAGCATACAGGACACTTTCACAGCATGCTCATGCCAGATTGCGCACAGACAGCAAAAGGACGAGTGAGATGTAACTCAAAGATAGCATCAGACAATCAAGTCCATTACTCGAAATTGTCTTTGTACAAGAGGTGCGGCTATGGCCATACAGTCGCTCCCTTCCCCACCTCACTCTCTCAGTCCAAGGTCTTGTCTTCTGAATACCTCTCTCCTTCTCCCTCTGTACTTTGCTCATCCACCTAGCTATGGCACCCAGAGCCACCAACCACCTACAATTAACTAGGTAGAAGTGCACTTTGCAGTATTCCAGAATAGCGCAGCAACACTTCCACATGGACTCGTAGGAATATGTGCTGACAACTTCAAATGAACAAAGCACTTGTACAACGTCCAGGCGCTGCCGGCGGGGCGCTGCGTACACTTTGACGGCCGCCATACACTTCATCTCAGCATGCAGCGAGTCATACAAGCCCACCAATGAGAGCACTTACCACCACAGACCATCAAGGAGAGTGCCTGAGTCAAGAGAGTAGATCATATTATACGTCACAAGGCCAGCCACAGGAGCCAAAATGCACACCAAGGAAGGCACACCGTACAACAGTATACCCATCAAGAGGATTGACGACGCCAGGGAAATGAGGATTTGACAACCCCAGGGAAATGAGGATTTGACAATGCCAGGGAAACGGGCTCCAAGCTCTGGCTTTTGATCCCATATCGAGTTCGGGTGCAGGCAGGGAGAGTCACATTCTTTGCTCTGCGTTTCGTGTCCACAGCCTAATCAAAGTGCCCCGCCGCCCCTCCCCGCCCATGAAGCACCAAGTCCATGAACAACCACATCCTTTGCTCTACTTGCTGCCATGAAGGCCATACTGGACCTCTCTGCTGTCAACCACCCTAGCCTTCACTAGCACAATGTACACGCTTTACCAAGAGCTCCAAACAAGGTGTATCTGCATAGTTCCTGCCGCAACCGAATCCAGCACAATGACCTCTACACACTTCGGGGAAAGAAAAAGGAGAGGGCTACCTCGTGCGCGCAATAGCGTTCTCAACCACCCCTCATCATAAACGGTAAGTAGAGGTGGGCTGCCATTGCAGCCGCCCTCCTCATCACCTTCATGGCCGTCATCGACCATACAAGCAAATCCAGTCCACTACACCTGATCTCTGCAGCGCGTAAAAAGGGAGCAGTAAGCAAGGGAGGCAACCCCAAATCTGCTTTTCTGTCCCAAAGCCCGGCGATATATTGGTGTAGCATACATTATAATCTCAATGACGGATCATTATGCCAATCTGCAAAAGTATGCAGAAACACTGCACAGGAGTCCGTTGCTGTTTCTTTCTCAAGCGTGTCTGAAAAGCTGAGCGTTCTAAGATAGAAGATTTGCCAGAACGACAACTGAGACAGACCAGGGCAGAGTGCAAGTGCTGGCAACCCTGAGGGGGTGGAGAGGTCATTCTCTCTATCTCTCCCCTTTTGCACTAGATGGCATCTGGTAGTCTAATCCCCTTCCATGCGGATGCACAATCAAAATGCTGTCTGGTCTGCAACTCCAGATGCACACCATGCCTCGTATTCTGATAAACATTGTTTTGGGGCATGGACCCAGTTTTGGCCACATGTTCCCGTGAATAGACCAGAGCCATCCCCAGTGGTGGGCCTCCATCAGGGGGGGGTGTCCCTTTACCCGATTGAAAGCCGCCAATTAAAATTTTCATCATCCCCCTCAAAGATGTGTTTATTTTCACTCTGGCCACCAAAGATGACGCCTACACTCGCAGGCCCTTCATACCTGTCACGTTTTTGGCAAGTGTCCATCGGGTCACAGCTTTGGGATATGGGCCTGGCCATCCAACTCTTGCGCCCGCAGCATTCCATCCGCGGTCTGCCCTCAAGAACCCATCCAGAAAAGTTGAACAGGTGCCGATACAGGCGTTACTGAAAACTGGTACCGCTACGGGAATTACCGAAAAGATGTCAGGCCCAAGGGAGCGGTTTGGGCATTTCCACAAAGACGTCAGGCCAATGGGGCGTCACAGTTATTTCACCACTTTGAACGGCCGTCAGAGGGGCCCCTGAGCGCAGCCCGAATGTCTGGGGCCAGAATGCAAATAAATGCATCTTTGGCAGGTAAAACAAAAATTTCCCTTTCAGTAAATAAATAAGGTTTGTGCCCCACTGGACTTGGGGCCTGATCGGACATTACGTACCTCAGCAGCTTTTTCCAAAAACGGGGATCCTACATTCCTCCCCGTTCGCAGGGTGCCTCGTCAACATAGGACCATATTTCAGTCGGTGGCTGTCGTGGCAGTTTGACCGCATAGGGCCGCAAGGTTCTCGTTTGGAATTTCCGAAAGAGCCAGCACCCTACCCTGCTACGAAACGGAAAGCACGCACCTTTTTTTCCTTTTTGTATTTCCGCTTGGCCAGCACCACCAATCGCCCACAAGAGCCTGCCATGCAATCCATAAAAGTTCCGCGCTTAGTGGATAGGTGGCGTTCCACTTTTCTTTTCCATCCCGCGCGCGGACGGCTCCATCTTTTACGATTCTTTTACAGATTCCCGAAACCCAAGTAATGTGGGAACAGGCCATTACTTCAGAAAACTTCTCCAAAGTCCAACAATAATTTTTGGGGCTCCACATGCCCGCCTTTTCAGGGCTACAAGGAAGTTGCCTCCCTGCTGTCCTGTAAATCATGCACAATCTTTTTTAGTTGGGCCAGAGTGCCGGTCGGGTGCGTTGAACCATCGTTTACAGAATACTTGGGAAAACAGATGGTGCAACCACTTCAGAACTGAAGAACCACCTTCAGACTGAAGAACAACAAGACTTAGGCTTGAACTCCACTGCCCGGCGGCTGGAAAAAGTCATTGGCCACCAGATGCTGGCCATAGCTCCACCAACAAGAACGGCACTGGAAATGGAGGCACTTCCCTGAAAAGGAAAGAAGGAATGGGGCCGTCCAAAAAAGGAAAGCGCGAAGAAGGGTGTGGCCCAGAAACAAAACCAGGCGCATAACCACGCATGTCCTCACAGCACAATGTGCCATTACTGTGCAATCCCTCGGACATCTGGTGGCCCGGCCTCTACTGCCCTTCCCCCGCCATCGGTCGGCCCCCCTCCACGCTCTACTAGAGGGTACTTCCAAAAAGGGACCGGCAGATGTTTTCCAGCCGCCAGCGATGTGGAAACCCCACCGACGGCCTTTCCCAAGCAGTTTCTCCAGGCAATGGAGTCCCGAGTTTGGGTTGGCGCTCAGAAAAAATGGTTTCCTGGTGCCCAATTGGGCCTCGAAAGCCTACTGTCACCATTTTTTTTCCAGCCAAGTGGGGTCCTGATTAGACATTTTGCAGTCTAGGAACTTCACGTGCAAGATCCCACATATTTCCAAAAGCCAACCGTCGGCCAGTGGGGTCCAAGCCTTAGGTCTGGAACCCACAGGTGTGCGAGAAAGTGTATGGATTGGCGCAGAGGGTTTTTTTCAGACCCCCGCAGGCAGGGAGCGGCCAAGAAAACTTTGGGCGAACGTTTTCACATAGGGTCATGATGGGAAATTCCTCCGTGGTCCAATTTCCGGCATATCGTGGCAAAACAACATGGTAGCCCCAAGGCCACCCTCTTGATTCATCCATCCCATGCGGAAAGGAGGCATAGGGATTGAACAGTGTGCTGAAAAAGAGGAAGCACACTTACCCGAGAGGGCAAATCTTCCTGATCTGGTAACCTAAACCCGCGAACGTGTCGAAATCTGCTATAGCAGTGGAATCCCTTTTCTCTTGCCCATTCCTGACAGTCTTCATATCTTCTTAATAGAATCAAAACGTACTGCAGTAAAAACCTATATCAAAAATTGTCGTTCTCTCTTTTTCTCAATCTTAATAGCAGCTTTTTTAACTCCTCCAAATACTTGGTTTCAATTTTTGTGTGTTTTACCTATTTATGGTGTGATAGAATTAGCTATATTTTATGTTTTTATTTGGCGAATTTCTCAAGACAAAATAGCTGACAGATCTAATATGGAGACTTGAAGGATAAGAAAGATAATTAATAAAGCGCCCATTGGAATTGTTTGTAAGAAACCATTCTAACTAAAGATATAAATAAAGATACATATAGTGTCGAAAAAACAAAAATAAAGCCTCAACGTAAACCAATTTTGCCATAGCCGTTTCTTTCTGGAATATGTATACAAACTAGTTACCTGAAAGGATCTTCAACCCTCAGCAAAGCCAAATTCGACACGGAAACTCCCCGTCGAAGACTCGACGACGAGGTGATCGTAAGAGCTTCCACTTTTCAAACGACAACCCCTATGGAAGACCATCAGATCCAATGGATACGGGTTTCAAAAGACTCTTCTATGTAAGATATGTTGATGATTTCGTTCGAAATGCGGCGTGGCATGCCTGCAAGACCTAAGAAATGCATAGAAAAGAAAGTCAAATTCACACCAAAGAAAGTAATCCAAAAATGAATTTGACCTAAGGTTTCTGGATATTGAAGTCCAAAGATTTTGCCTATCCAATCGTAGAATCCTACAAATAGAGCGAATACGGCTCCCATAGAAAGTACTTAATGAAAGTGTGCTACTACATAATAAGTGTCATGTAGAGCAATGTCAATACCTAATACAATTCCAATAAGTCCTCCTACGGTAAACAAGAAGATGAACCGAAGTATTCTCGAATATTCAAATCTTGATACAATAATTCTCCATAATAATAAATTGTGTCAAGAGTTAAACTGATAGACCGTAGTAAAACATTCTATTCAGCCATAACAAGTGCTCTCCGAACCGTGCGAGAAGGTCGCCCATCACACGGCTC